AAAAAAAAAAAAAAAAAAAAAAAAAAGAAAAAATATCCTTTATGGATTTTTATACGTGGAAAGTTTCACAGCGGAGAGATCTATGCCGAGGAATGCTATTAAATACTGTCGCTATTAAATACTAATCTTTCTTTTTTTTCCCCTTTGTTTTCTTTTTTTAATTTTTATCCATTTAATTTTGTCTCCGATTTTTGTTCAAAATTTCATTCGTTTCGATTCGATCCTGAAGCGAGACGAAATTAAACGCTGAAAATTAAACGAACGTTTTAAAAAGTTATCAAGCAATTAAATGAAATTTAATGAAACGAAATTAAATGAACGTCGAACTTCCAATGAAATTTTCATTTGTTCGATGATATTTATTGATACGTGAAATTGCATAAACTGTTCACCTAAGCAGAGAACTTAGTGCATCGGACAATCCCGATTCTGCAAAAAACTGGGAGATTAGAAAATATGTGAAAAACTTTCACACGCGAAAATATAAAATTCTTCCTCTAAACGCTCATTTCCTCGGTGTTTTCATCATTCTCCAAATATTTATTTTATCTAAAGTTACAGTGACCATCGTCCTAGAAATATCGCGTATTTTAAGATTACGTTAGAAGCGTAGAAAACTAGCTAAAGATAGTAACACCACGAATAAAAAGTTCAATCGAACAAAACAAATTTTCTCCTCTACGTTTACCCTCTTTTTGATTACGATTCGACAACGAAATTGTTGTCGATCGCGGAATCACTTCTGCGCGAAATACATCGAGAAAAATATGATCAAAACGTTCGACAGATGAAATGAAACACGTCGAACAGACAGAAATTGACGAGAGACGAGAGATCGAGTCACATAGATTTACTGACTGGGAAATTCTAAGAATTCGAGACGAGGGAAAATGGGTCGAACACGTGATCGAGCTGGCACGAGCATTAAAACTGCGTCTCTAAAACCCGATTTCCCTCCCCGCACCGCTGCCATTAGGCGTGTCGAAAGGTGTGCCGGGATATCGATGGAATTCGAACGTTTCACCGATAAGCCGGACATGCTGTTCGATAACAATCGAACAGTGGCAGCCAGTCTGTCGTTTTCATTCACCCAAGACACGTAGTACTCTGCGTAACACGTTTTCCCGAGTAACTTTCTGTGAGTATAATTTCAAGGAAATTAATAAAATTTCAGTAGAACCGGTCGGTGACTAATCAGACGATTGAACGTTTCATTGAACCAAGCTTTTTCTTCAGTGTTCTCTCTCTCTCTCTCTCTTTTTTTCCTGATTTTCATCTCTTTTTTCCTTTCTCGTTTTCTTATCGTGGAAAAAAATTGCAATTCTCTTCATTGTGAGAATTTGATTCCTTTCCATCTTTCGCGTTTTCTTTCAGATTTCAGAGCAGGAAGTAAAGTAGAACATGTGAAAATGGCGTGAAAATATTAGAAATTTGTTCAGTTCTTTTAGAATTTTTTATTATATTATTATAATATGATAGAAATGATTTGAAGTACCGATAATTAAGAGACGAAGAATTTTGTTTTTTTGTTTATTTAAAATTTCACATACGTATATATATTACGTTTATTATTATTATTTGTTGTTGTTGTTGTTCTATCTAGTATATTGTATTTATTCATTAGAATTAGAATAGAAATCTCGTTCGTCTGCTGCATTCCCTCCATTGTTTGGAAACACTGGTGTTTCAAAT